GTAACAGATGTGATTCTGCAATCTGTATTTGGGGTAAAAAAGAGAGTTCAAAACCCAATTGAGTCAAATGTATGAAAGATGATATATCATGAGCTCTGTAATGTTTTGAACAATCAATAAAAAAAAGATCAAAGATAGGTGTTGGTGAGAGTGTGGAAAAGAGAATATTGTATATAGTTTGTGGGAATGTTAATTAGTATAGCCATTATCAAATACAATATAGAGGTTCCTCAAAAAATTAAAAATACAACTACTTCATGATCCAGTGATATCAACACTGAGCATATATATACAAAGAAAATGCAATCAGTGTGTCAACTCTCAACTTTATAATAGCTAAGATATGGAAACAAATGTCCATCAATGGATGAATAGACCAAGAAAGTGTGTTTATATGTGTGTGTGTGTATGTATGTATGTATGTGTGTGTATGTATGTATGTGTGTATGTGTGTGTGTGTGTGTGTGTGTATATATCCAACTTTAAGAAAAAAAGGAAACCCTGTCATTTGCAAAACATGGGTGAACATGAAGACATCATGTTAAATGAAATAAACCAGACACAGAGAGACATGTACAGTGTTTCTTATCTGAAATCAAAACTGTTGAACTCACAGAAGCCTAGACTAGAATGTGGATCTACACAGATGATCACTTTTGTGGAGGAATTTGGTAAAAGAACAGGACAAAATCTGATGGGAAAAAATCTGACATGAGAAATAAGCTTAAGAGAGCTATCAGATAGAGTGGTGACTATGGTTAAGAACAAGGTACTGTGTGCACATTGATAAGAGTAGATTCTCACTAGTTTTCACTCTGAATGCATGATAAGTCTGTCAGGTAAGGAATGTGCTTATTAGCTTTATTTAGTCATCCCACATGTACATATAGTTGAAAACTTCATGTGATACTTGAAAATGTATGCAATTTTTATCAATTTAAAATAAATCAATAAAATATCCAAGTACTAATGACAAAAAAAGAGATTTTTTTATTTAACCTTATGTTGGTGCAAAAATAATCCTCATTAAGTAGAAATCATTGTTCAAAATTTGTATTTGGATCTTTTTTCAGGCTAGTAATATGTAGTCCAATTCCCTCTCTTGATGCTGGCCATTGGCAGTGACTGCAGGTTCTGGCCTGCCTTGCAATCACAGCAGGCAAGAACTGATAGCCTATAGTATGCTGTGTTGCTAAACTGGGACATGCAGTAGTTTGGATGTATTAATGCATTTTCAACTTAAGACATTTTCGATTTATGATGGGTTTACTGGCATATGACCTCACTGTAAGTCAGGGAGCATTCACAATTTTGTGACTATGCTTCTCATGAGACAAGAAGTTCCACAAAGGCAGGGACTGGCCTGCTGACTCTTCCCCAGCAAGTGACCTGCAGATGATAGTAACAGCTCACATTCACTGAGTGTGCTAGATGTCAGGCATTCTTCTGAGTGCTTTTACAGATTCATGCATTTCAACTCCTATTACTCCCTCAAATATTTGTTGAAGCCTTTGATTTTGTTCTAGAAATGACAATTACTCAAAAAATATTTGTTAATATTGAATGCCAGGCACTGCATGCAATAAACAGAACAGAGTAAATCAGAGTTCTCTGCCTTCTTCACGGAGCTCAGTCTGATGGGCCATCCACCCAAATAAAGAGAAAGTCATGTCACATAACAAGTCCCAATACAGACAGGATATTCGAGGTATGTGGTAAAATACTCCATGTTCTTAAAATTTGCACACAATTTACCTTTTGTTTAAAAAGTAACTTGGAAATCCATCCATTATCTTATCACTTAACAAGGAGTTGCTCATTGCCTAGTTAACTGGGCACTGTGCTGGGCCTCTCAGATGCAAGACAAATAAGGATGACACAAAGCACACAGTCTGGTGGGAGGTTTCACAAAGAACTAACAATAGCATGTGACGTGTTAGGGCAAACATATCTACTGCTTGCATCATCAGTCCAAGGCAGTTGTTACAAAGAATTAAGTTCCAGTCTGTCTTTCCTAACAAGACCAAACATACCTACCCAATCTGGATTCTCATTACTCCCAACATGAAATTCCTTCCCCAGGTTGAGTTTCATATCATGCATGGTCCCCTAGTTTTCTCATATGTGAAATAGAATGCCCAGCTTAAAAGATTTTAAGGGGTAAGCAATGAATATTCACAAGCAATGGATACTGCAGAGTACTAGTCATTATTATTATCAGACCAAATGTGGCCAAGACCCTTGTTACCCCAGCCTTTAACTTTTGAACATGTTGCTTCTGTTCCCAGAATGGCTTCTCCTAACTATAATAGTGCTTCCTTGTGGCACTCACAAAATTCAATCTGGACTTACAGTCACACAAAAACTATGCAGAAATTTAAGTGGAATCATTGTAGAATCTTCTGTTATCTGATAATGAACATGCTACATAAATATCTTATACAACTTCCAACTACCTCCTAAGAGTCAAACATACAACAGAACCTTGTAGGGTTAAAAGTGTAATTTTATTTAGATGTTACTTGTACATAATCTATAGTAAGATATACAAACAGATAAAAATTGTTTGACAGGATCTTTTTAATACCACTTTAAATTCAATTTACAACAGCATTGGTAATACTGCAAGATGACAGATACTCTGCTTCATAAAACAAAAATTACTTGCTATTCTGGCTGATACATTCCCACTAGTCTGTAATGGATTAAAATGTATCATGTATTTTAGTTGCAAATCATTACAAAACTTTTACAACCTAGCCACTTGGTGCTCATAAAAGATTTTGATGTGCTAAAAATTTACTGAAATGAAAACATTAATTTTCTAATAGGATCCTATGTAAAGAAAATCATAAGTATACCAAATCTTATGGTTTGGGGCTAACAATGCAAAAATCATTTGCCTGCTGTTCAGCCACATCATGCTTGTGCATGTGGATTCGGGCATCTTTCCAGCCTTTCTGCCTGAGTCTGTGCCATGAGGAAAATGCCTATGAGATATTCAACTTAACACACATGGAGCAATACAACTGGGGAGAATTTAAAATAATCTTAAAATTATAACTATAATTTAAAATGTAAAATTTATAGAAATAAAATATACTGTCAAATGATTTTCTCTATTTGTTTTGGTAAATACTTTTTAAAAATGGAAACGTAAAATTCAAACTCTTCACTTTGTTCTTTGTAGGGAATACCATATTAGAAGATTTAAATTTAGACCAAACGAGATTTGTTGAAGATACTCTAAAATAATCTAGACTGGATTTTAGTCATTTTCCATTCTCTTATAGGTAACAGAACACAAGAGGGCAAAAGCTTTCTCACTAGTCATAAAAACAAATTAAAAATGACTTTTTAATTTAAACTACAGGAAGCAACTAGTAATTAATAGGCTCATGAATATTTATGAATAAAGTGCCACTAATTTTATTGTAGTAGGATATAAATAGAAGAAATTCTGAAGTGAATAGTAGCTGACGGTGCTCCCTCCATCCAGAGAGAAGAATGGCCAGAAAACAAAGAAGCATTGCTAAATCCAGGTTTCTGATTATACAGAATACTCCTAGCCCAACAGTAATAATGAAGGCAAACTATTACAATAAACACAAAATAAGACTAAAACTGGTAAAAGTACCAAGAGTAATGCCAACACAGAACAGTCTGCATTGGAAAAAAGAGAAATTTAGATATTCACTAATAGTTACTAATATTAAAAAAAAAATCATAGTGACAGCCAAGTAGGGCCTGCTCAGAAGGCACACACCAAGCCGCTGTGCAGCAGAGAGGACTTGAATGCACAGCCAAAGGAGAGCCTTGGAAAGTGGGTATAGACATGAGACTTTGCAGTTTCAAAATCTATGTGACCAAAACCCAGTGTGCAGGCAGGCATCATACAACAGCTGCCCCAAGTTAAGAGGTATCCACACAGAGACACAGGGTGATGTGGGCAGCTGGCTGATTTCCCCAGAATTCATGAACAAAAATCATTTGTTACAACATTCTCCCATCAACTCACACATCTCAGCCCCAGCTCAAGATTCTTTCCTTTGTTGGAGCTGAGAGTTCCCAGCACCTGCAACCTATTGGAAGTACTGCAGATAGGCACAACTCCACAGCAAGTGAAGGACCTTAGCATATTTTTCCTATCTACAACCCAAGCCTGGGACAATTATTTATTCTTAACAAGCATTTGTCCTTATCTAGAATTACAAAGTAGAAGCTGTCATTCTTGAGTCTCCCTGGTAGTATGCCTGAGCCAGGTCTATGGGACCTGTGGAAAGGGGAATAGGGTGAGTGGAGGTGAAAGCAAGGTGCTTTGCCACCACTAGGAATCAAATCAAGGTAATCTTGTGAGGTACATTTTTTAAAATTTAATGTGCTAACAACAATATGAAAGAAGAGAACTGTGTGCTTCTAAGACAGGGCAAAGGCCCTGCATGGGGCTAACCCCCAATCTGCCACAGCACCTTGAGAAGTAAATAGCTGTCACTATTTTTCACTTAAATATAAGCTTTTAAAATTCTGACCAAATAGAGTGGGTTGCCTTTGCACACAGGGCCACATGTGGTAGCTCTGTCTAGCTGGGGGCTATACTCCTAGATGGCTCACAGCTGTTCTGGCTGCCTGGTACCCAAGCCATCAGGGCTAGCCAATATTTTAAGTATGAACCCAATGGTCCCTAAAAGGGAAAAGGACCTTGTGTTCATTTGCATTACTACTGAGCTGCTGAAACTTCATGCAAAAATCACCACCAAGCATTTATTAAGTGAATATCCACAGGAAACCTGCCTGAAAAGGGCCTTTCCAATTTCACATTTGACAAGTGCATGAAAAGGCAATGAAATTATTCAATAGAACATTTGAATTCACTCAATAGCTACCAAATCAAAAAACTGAATGCAGAAACATTTGATTCTCCTGTTGTTAGACCTTTCCCTCTACAACTAACTTCTTCTGAAACATAGTAAAAATGAAAAAAAAAAAAAAAAAAGGCAAAACAGTGTCACTTACTGATTGGAAGACATCACTCTTGACACAGTCATTAATCTTGCCAAGACCTAAAACCAGGCAGCTCACAGACACACAGCAAGTCTACAGAATCTTAATGATCAATAAGGGTAAAGTAAATACTTTCATGGCTAAGAGGGAAGCAAGATGCTGTTTTCAGAACAATGCAATAGTTACAGCATATCTCCTTTTGTGCAGCACGATGTGCTATATTTAGTGGCACTTAAGTATTACACAGTAAATACTGAAAAAACCCAGAAATTTTGGATGTGCAGAAGCAATATCACATTATTAATACAAAAGGTGCTAAGCTACAGGATTATAATATCACAATTTGGGTGCTGAAACCAACTGAAATCCCCAGTGAACTTCCACACACACTGTACTGGTGGTCCACCTGCCACCGTCCCTGTATGGCCTTAGTCAGACCAGTCGTTCTCATCAAACTCAGAGTCGTCATCGGAGTCGCTGTACTCTACAGCAATGCGTCTGGATAGGATTGTGGCCACGTCATTTCCAACAGGCTCCTGCTTGGCCTCTTGCTCACGTTGCTCCTGCACCTTTTTCAGCTGAATTCCTAGAGACACGACATAGGGGTGAGAATTAAAATGTTCTGATTGCTCCAAAAGGAAAGAAAACTGAGCAGGGCTACTGGACTTGGTTTTTCTAAGTTTAAGTACAAAAAGTTTTAGAAATTTGAGGGGAGAAAAGAGTGTGCAAAGTCCATTTTAAGAAGATTAGTTGTGATAAGGTGCACATGAACACCTCAATGGAAAGTTCTAGAGCCACACTGTTTCATATGCCTGCCACTAGTCTCTTCTCAATTCTTTATCATGATATGCATACCTGACAACTACAAAAATACTCCTAATATTAAAAAAAAATCAAACAAGCATCCTTTGACTCCAAAAAATCATTTAATGTGTAGAGCTATCATTTGAAGGCAACAAGGTTGAAGTTTGCTAGAGACCTAAAGAAATCTCTCTATAAGGAAGGCTTTGTATGTGGGGTGCTCCACTTACCCATCCTGATGGCAGCAAGGAGGTCACTTCGAGCATCACTTATCGGAGGCTGTGCAGGCTCAGGACGCTTTGCCTCAGCTACAGGGGGGCCATGCATTGGGGAGGATGAAAGAGAAGAGCTGGGGCCAGGAGGGCCTGGTGGGGGAGGTGGTGGACCTGGAGGCGGTGGTGCTGTGATGAGGAGCCCAGCTGAGGGTGGATGAGGAGGAGCAGCATATGTGGAACCAGCTGATGCAGGAAAGGGGGGCTGCATGGGGATCTGGAGAGGGCTGACAAAAGCAGTTTGTGCTGAAGGAATCATGGGTGGAGGTGGAGGAGGAGGTGGTCCTGAAGGGTTGTAATATTCAATTATCTGTGCCGGGAGCATCCTAATAAAGAGATGAAACAGAGTCACCATTGTAACAATAAAGGGCCATGTCCCCGAGTTGTAATATGCCTAATCAAAGAAGTTCCCCCAAACACAATGCCCTCTACCAGCCAGACTTCAGTCACTGCAGAAAGCACATGCCCACTCTGTGGTTCTGTCATTTTACAGTCCTACATTATTCATTATGATGAATGCAAGACTTATTGAAACACACACACACACACACACACACACACACACACACACACACACAATCATTGAAGAGGAAAGCACCTTCTGTGAATACTAAAATAATGTAGTTGCTGCAGAAGAGCAATGGCATCCTTCATCCTGGGCATCTCAAAGGGCTTAGAAACTTGTCTCCTGAGGGCTGCATGGCCAACCAGATGAGGAAAATACTATATTCTCTAGCCCAGTTCCATGGAAGCCCTGGGACCACAGCACCCAGTAGCATGTCAAAGGCTTTGAAAAGTTCTAAGCCAAGAAATCAGCTGATTTCTGCTCAGTCAAGGGTTTTCCCAGTCAACTGGACCACAGGCCCTCTCTGTGCCTGAAAGCAGCACTCTGGGATTCCTGGTTCCACCAGGGCACAAAAAGAATAGCCAAGTCTGTGTGGTCTCCCCTTTGAGGGCTGAGAATCTACATTTAGAAAGTGACACCAGTGCTCTGCGTAAAAAACACACATTACAGAAGCATATGTTCAACTTCTCTGGGTACTGACTCTGAGGGTTAAGACAAAAACAGATCTAAAGAAACCCTATTAAAGTCAAGGAGGGAGCTTGATTTGATGAACATGTGAAAAGGAAGGTCTTTTAAAAGAGGTATTAGAATTCTAACCCACACAGAAAAGGAGAGGGCCTGGGGGAAGAACAATCTAAGGGCCCAGAGGTCAAGAAAGTTTATAGAGCCAAGTGTGAGAAGTGATGTTACAGGATTCAGTCATCCATGATAAGCATTCTCTACGGTTCACCCAGGACGTGTAGAGAAATTTGAGTATTTGAACAGTTTCACAAAACAGCATGTCATCCTTTATCAATGCCTGATTTAAAGATCCTTTCAAACACATGTAAGTATGCATGCAAAGAGAACACATATACAGGAACACAGCTGTCAACCTGGAATTTTGCTGTAATAAGGTAGGGTCAGTAGCACACCTACTTTATTTAACATAGAGTAGGACACTACTGAAGTGTCTAAATCCAATTAGTCTTGACTATATTCTGGTATCTAAAATATCAAGGTTAAAATTCTTCCACAATACATTAAGATTCAAATGCAAAAACAACTAGCAACTAAAGTACAAGGAATACTGATTTACCCATAATCTGCTGGAGCCATTGGTGCAGAGGCCTGGGACCCCTCTGGGGCCTGGGGTGGTGGTGGTGGTGGCGGCTGCTGAGGTCTGTTTAGGGCCATGTGCCTCACCGAGGCAGAGGGAGGCCGGTACTCATGTTCAGGGGCCTGGTTTGCAGCCCCATGTGGTGGTGCATCACCGGCAGTGTAGGAAGGGGTGACCGGCTGGGGATGCAGAGAATGGTTGGGTGTAGCTGGATAAGAGTAATCTGTAACATCTGATGCATGGGATCTGACATTGGAGAAAAAGGAATGAAAGAAATTTAAATTGTTTTAAAAATTTCCCTTATCAGGCAGAAGCATATATATGAATAACAACATTGCCACGGCACAGAAATAAGAAATTTATTTCTTTAACTATCAACTAGGTCTAGTCCCATGACAGCTTCCAAGCAACAACATAATTACTATCTTAGCAGCAAGCCCCAGTGTTACATGGATTCAGATTCACAGCTTTGAAGTGAATAAGTCAGACAGACCAGCAAGCAGGAACCAGCAGAGCCTCATTTTCACAGTATTTCATGTACTTCTTTTCTAAGAGACAAGACTACAAGATGAATCTCATTTCATTTAGAAACAGCATCTCAGGATTTCGGTGGCAATGAAACTGACAGTATATAATTAGAAAATACAAAATGGCAGGTGAAATGGGTAAATATTAACAATAAGAACAGAAAGAGAAATGCAGAATGTAACAGAGTGAACCATGTTTTTCATAACAGAAGCAATTATTTAACCCAAAGAGAAAGAAGCAATGTGGTACACTACGGAAAGGTCTTCTTGCTTTCTTTGAACACAGAGTCAAGTGTAAAACTCTGAAAATGGAAATCACATATTAGTGAGAAGAGTTCAGAAAAATGCCAGGTGCTGGATGCTGGCTAAGTCCCAGAAGGAGAGGATGGACTTGCATGTATGGCAGCAGCTTGGCCAAAAGCATTAGTAACAGTCACACTCTCCTGGCCTGGGTTACTGGACACGTGTGAGTAGGGACTGCACATCCTCTCATGACACTGAAGCAGGGGGTGGCCTGGAACTGAGAATCCAAAGAAAGAAAATGACAAACCCTCTGGGCATCCTGTCCTCTTTCGTGCTCCCTGCCTGTTCCAGTTTCCTTGCGTCACTCATAAATTCAATGCCCATTTTCCTTCTCTCCCACTCTTCTTTTCTTGTTCTGACTTTTCTCACATGTACTTGCTGGTTCCTGTTAGGATTCAGCTTGTGTTTCTCTCTCTGAAGGAAACAGGCAAACACATTGGGAATGTGAAGGAAAGAGGGAAGACGATACAAGCTGAATTTCCATCTCTAGGATTTTAGACAGAAGCTTCTGCTAACTGGAATTCTGTGTGGCATAGAAAAACTTGCTAAATCAAGAAGTCTGCCCCAGCTTTCCTTCCCTAATAGCGGTATAATAATAACCAACAACTCATTTTCCTTCCTTAATTGCAGTATGAATTCTAGATTATGGTGTGCACGTGAAGATGTCTTCTGAACTCTGCAAACTTCAAGCAAATGCATTAAAAATATTTTTAATGGGAGAGGAATCTGGCCTATATTTAGACTTAGTACATTTAAAAAACATAAATACCTAAAATTCTGGGGTCATTGATGATTCATGCTAAGGAACTGTGTCAGTGACTATGTGCACCGTTTTTTTAAAG